AGCCACTCCCCAAGCCCTGCTTTTTTAAATTCTTTTTCCTCTTTGTCATTTCCATTTTTGATGTTTCTATTGACATTTCTCTAAGCTTAGTGATTCTTTCCTTGGCTAGTGTCCACTCTATTAAGGACCACACCAAAGATAGCCTTTACTTGTTACAGTGATTTTTATTTCTAGTATTTCTTTTTCTTTTCTTTTTTTGGTACTATTGGGGCCTACGTCTTGAGCCATTCCACCAGCCCTTTGTTTTGTGATGGATTTTTTTCAAGATAGGTTCTCATGAACTAATTGCCCAGGCTGGCTTCAAACTTCGATCCTCCTGGTCTCTGCCTTCCTGAGTGGCTAGGATCGCAGGCATGAGCCACCAGTGCCTGGCTGATAGCATTTCTTTTGATTATTTGTGTTTCCTTCTCTGCTAACATTACCCAGCTGTTCTTGCATGTTGTCTACTTTTTCTATTCCAACCTTAGGGAATTAATCATAGTTGCTTCAAATTCCCAGGATGATGTCTTTAATTACTGAGTCTTATTTATATGTTTGCTCTGTCTTTTTCAGAGTGGATTTTCTTTTGGAAGTTGGATGAGATACAGTAGGTAAGATGAGCTGGTTAAACAGGAGTGTAGAGTGAAGCTTTATGTTTATCTGGCAGGAATTGGACTATGCTTACTGTTGCTGTGCCTGTAGGTGTTAGGCAAAAATTCCAATTTCTGTCCTTGTGTTTGTCTCTCTGGTTGTCTTTGGGTTTCCACACATCTTCTTAAATAAGGTCTGGGACACTGCAGGTGTCCCCTGCCCCCCATAGTAATCCCCTAGTATTATATAAGAGTCCTACCTATGTAGTGGCCAGATTTAAGGGGGAAGGAAGCATTCTAGAGTCCTACAATAAAGTCTGTTAGTGAGCCTGTGCTTCTGGGATGTAAGCTTCAAAAGTGCTTAGTTTTGTGTTGTTTTTCTTCTCCCCCCACCCTTTTCATGAATTGAGGAAGCCTAGATGAGGCTGGGGTTGGGCATTTTTTCCCCCTTCATCTTCTCTTGAGGGCAGGCCTGTTCAGAAGAACAGAGTACTCTGGTGTATTTCAAAGTGGCTTCTTTCCCCTACCCCTTCCAGAAGAACATGGGAATCTTTCCCAATCTTGAATGTGAGAACTTTGTAGGACTCTAGAGGTAATAGTCACAAAAGTATTTGTGAAGTTTGCTGCCCAAGGCAATGGCTCCTGTTTTATCTAAGAGCACTGATGGGACCCAGCACACTCTAGATGACTGGGTCCTGCTGAGAATAAAAGACAGCTGGGTACCTTGCTGCCCTACATGGCACGTAGTACAAGACTCAGAGGTCAATGCACCTTGGCAGACTCTCCCTCAGGGGCAAAGAGAAAAGTATAGTGTGTATCAAACCTTAAAAGACAAAGCATTCGTTCTGAAAGCAGCAGAGGAAAGCGACTCATCACATACAAGGAAGCCTCCATAAGACCATCAGCAGATTTGTTAGCAGAAACCTTGCAGGCCGGAAGGGAGTGGGATAATATATTCAAAGTGCTGGAAGAGAAAAGCTGCCATCCATGGACAGTACATCCAGCAAAGCCATCCTTCAAAAATGAAAGAGCTGGGTGGCGGTGGCCTGTAATCCTAGCTACTCAGGAGGTTCACAGTTTGAAGCAGCCTTGGGCAGATGGTTCTCGAGACCCTATCTCAAAAAACCCAACAAAAACCAGGGCTGGTGGAGTGGTTCAAGGTGTAGTCCCTGAGTTCCAACCCAATTACTGCAAAAAAAAAAAAAAAGAAATACTTTACCAGGTTAAAAAAAAGTTTTGAGGGGAGTTCATCACATGAAAGAAAATGAGAAAGGAATTAAAGCATGTCACTACAAAACAAAACAAAAGACAGCAAAAGATAATGGTATGAAGTTGGTGTTGACATGGATTTCCTATATGTAACACCAAAAATACAAGCAACAAAAGTGAAAATAGTCAAATGGAACTATATCAAATTAAAAAAACCTTTTGTCTAGCAGAAGAAATTATCAACAGAATTAAAAGGACAATCTATACAATGGGAGAAAATGTTTGCAAACCATGTATCTGATGAGGGGTTAATATCCAAAATAAATAAGGAGCATTTACATCTCCACAACTTTTGTAACCTAACAAAAAAATGGACAAAGAACTGGAGTAGGCATTTCTCCAAAGAACATATAAACAGCCCACAGGAATACAAGAAGATGCTCAACATGACTGGTTAGCAGGACAATGCAAACTAAAATCCCAGTGACATATCACCTTACCTGTTAGGAGAGCCATTATCAGAATATTTGAAAGTAACTGACATTGACAAGGATGTGCGGAAATTGGAACCCAGCAGTGGGAGTGTAAAATGTTACAGCAGCTATGGAAAACAGTATGGAGTTCCTCAGAAACTCAAAAGCAGGAGCAGTGTATGATCCAGCAACCCCATGTCTAGGCATTTATCTGAAGGAACTGAAAATAGAATCTCAAAGAGATAGTTGCATTCCCATATTCATTACAGTATTATTCACAATAGTCAAGAGGTAGAAACACCTAAATGTCCATCACCAGCTGAACAGATAAGAAAATGTGGTAAATACATAATGGAACATTATTCAGCCTTAAGAAAGAAATCCTACCATATATAACAACATGGATGAACCTTGAGAACAGTGTGCTAAGTGAAACAAGCCAGTTGCACAGTACTGCTTGACCCCACTTACACAAAATATCTAAAGTAGTCAGTGAAACTCACAGAAGCAGAAATAGTGTTGGCATAGGGGATGGTGGAGCATATCTGTAATCCCAGCACTTGGGAGGCTGAAAGAGGAGGATCTTGAGTTGGAGGCCAGCCTGGACTATATAGGGAGAATCTGACTTGAGGCAAATAAAAATAAATAAAATAAAATAAAAAATAGGAAAGTAGAAATGGTGTTTGCTAGGGGTTGGGGAAAAGAGAAATGGGATTGATTTCAATAGGTAAAGAGTGTCAGGCAATACAACATAAAAAAGTTCTGGAGATTTGCTGACAGTAATGTGCTTATAGTTAACAATACTGTACAATACACTTATTAATTTGTTAAGAGGTTAGTGCGATGGTTAACCTTGATCATCAACTTAACTGGATAAAGAAGTGCCTGGGAGATTAGTAAAGCAGGCCTCTGACTATGTGAGGGCATTAGGGGAGAGGATTAACTAAGGAGGGAAGACCCACCCTGAATATAGATGGCACCATCCCATAGGCTCCAGCCCCAGATAGAATAAAAGGCATATTTATTCATTCTCTCTCTCTCTCTCTCTCTCTCTGTCTCTCTCTCGCCTCCCACCCCACCCTCCTGGCCACCATGCTGTGAGCTGCCACACCTTCTCCACCACAATGAACTGAACTCTTCTAAAACTGCGAGCCCAAATGAATCTTTTCCTCATTTCACATTGTTCCGTCAGGTATTATGTCACAGCAATGAAAAGCCCAACACACATAGATATCATGCTATGTTTTTACCCCCAATATGCACAAATTTCTTTTCAGGTATACTTAATTGGTAATATGGAAGGAGGCCTTTGAAGAGATATCAGACTCAATAAATGAGATAAGATATGCACAGAATTTACAAGCTGTTTACTAAGCTGGTGATTCCCTCAAAAACAATTGTTTAAAATATGCATTATTTCAGTCATTATTTTGTGTAAAAATCAGTGAAGCTTATTCCTCCTGAGCTCTGTACCCTTTGGCCACCATCTCCCCTTTCTCTACCCACCTGCCTTCCCCCATGCACCCACCATTCTCCTCTCAGCTCCTGTGAGTTCACCTTCTTAGATTCACAGGTAAGTGGGATCATTTTCCTTCTGTCTGGTTTACTTCATTTAACACAATGTCCCAGTTCATCCATGTTGTTGCAAATGACAGCATTTCCCTCTTTTTTTTCCCCCTACAGCTGAATAGTATTTCATTTTGTATGTACACCACATTTTCTTTATCTATTCATCTACTGATGGACACCTAGATAGCTTCCATGTTAGCTACTGTGAATAATGCTGCAATGAACATGGGATATAGACATCTCTTCAACATCCTTAATTTAAGCCAATCATGTGAACCTGCTTTTATTTGTAATCCAAGCAAATTATTTGGACATGGGTTTATCCAAGTTATTATTTCAGAATTTGGGTCTGCAGGATATTTTTGCTTGAACAAAGTAGAAAGGATTTCCCCAACAACTTAAATGTGAAACCATTTTGTATGTTTCTCTATCTAGGATACTATAAAAGTCTATTTTCTCCAGTATAAAATGGTAAGGAAATTTATACTAGAAACTATAAACAAGAAATTGAAAGAAATTTTTCATGATTTTAGAAATCTCTTTAATGAACATTCTCCCTTGGGTGTGGGGGAATCTTTTAATCTAAATTACTGTTCAATTTGTGCAATGTGTTTCCTTATCATGAAGAAAACTGCAATTTGTACAGTATGTTCTTATGGCATGAACTGTTTTGATTCCTAAACACACACATACACATGTGTGTATATGTAATCCAGTTTGTCTAGGAGAGATCTTTTGGTAAATACAAACAAAAGAGATCTGTTAATTTTCTCTTACATGTTTTAGGACCTGGATGTACAAAGACTGTTTACTTTTACAGCTTGTCTAGTACTAGCTAATCTTACCAGGTGTAGGTTTACAAAATATGGCAAAACCCAATCTATTCACCATTTTCTTTCTTTAAGATAGAGTCTTGCTCTATAGTCCAGGTTGGCCTCAAACTTTCCATCCTCCTTCGTCAGCCTCCAGAGTGCTTGGATTAAAGGCATGTACCCACCATCCCTGGCTCTATTCATCTTCTTAACTAGCACCTTCTAATTCAAACATGTATAGGCCTCTACTAAAGGGATTTGTTCATTTATAATATAACATACCTTAGTAAGCATTAAGCTTATATTAAGGAAAATAAGCTTAATACAGAAAATGCATACTAAGAAATTAGTCAATCATGTATGAACGATGTAAAGAACTCATAAGCAAAATTTTATTTTGCAAGAACCACTTTTTGTGATTATGAAGAAATAACTTGATCTAGGAAGAAAATACCTGCTCTTTTTAGAAATTAATAAACTATGTACCGTACCAGCCCACATAACTTCAGTACAATGAAAGAACAAAGCTAACTTCTTAATACTCTGAATGGTTATAAGAAATCCAGTGAACTTAATGTTATGTGTGCCAAAACTGTTCACTTGTCCTGATGGCAGCCAAAAGCTCACGGTGCTCAGACAAAGAGGGCCATATCAAAACTTTAGTACAGTTACTACTACTGCAATAAAAAAGCAACATACACACAAACACATAACCCCCAAAGATCCATTTTAACTAGATGAAGAAAAAGAACATAATTTACTTAAAAATACTTTGGACATTTTTTTTCCTGATCAAATCTGTGACCACTTCATTTTTCCTGCCTTCTTAAAAGGTTAAAATTTATCAGTGACATTTCTTCCATAGTCTTCCACGGGCTTTCACAAGACATCTCATGACACCTAACCACACAAGCAGTGCAGTTGCTTGTACAAACATAACATAAAAACATCGGATTTTCATCAGAAGAGTGGTAATTAAAGATTCTTTTTGTGAGTTCATGGAAATCCACGATGTTGTACTTAGATACATATTCTTTTCCCTAAAGTAAGCATAATGAGGCCAAATATTTGGGGGCAAACAAATGAGACGAAAGTACAAGTCTTGGAGGAGAAAATCCGACATTTACCAACAGTTTGGACAGGTGACATCAGGAGTTAAATGATGCAGTCCATGACATGAATCTGTAGCGTATCTATGTCCGGCAGAACTTCTCCACACTTGGGGCAAGAATGGAGCGGAATACTCTCTTCCTGCTGTTGCTGCCAGTTCCTGTCCTCACCCCCTGGGAATGAGCAGGAAAGGCATTAGTTCCATCTCCACAGCATTTCTGCGATCTTAGTAACAAATGGCTAATTTCAACATCCATTAATCCTTGTAATCAATACTTAATGGGATAGGAACACAGGCTTTTGGTTTTTAAGGGAAGTTATTACTGTGCACACAATAATCTGCTTGCATATTATTTCAGGATTTAAACCATATTCTAAGTTCAACGTATGTGAGAATACATATATCATTTTAGTTCTAGGTACAGAATAATACATGATCCGCTAAAAACTACAGTATGTGAGAGAATAAAAGAGATGAATGTAAGCAGAAGGGGAGAATGTGGAGGGAGAAGTCAAGTTTGCATGGGAGAGGGCTCCTGGAATGGCATGCGTTTTCCCAGAAGCAGACAAGCATCTCATTTTTTCAGATTCTTGTTGAACCTCCACGATGTGTAGGAGAGTGCTGTGTGCCCCATATGGATGAGGCGAGGAAGCCAGGGGAGAGATGCAGCAGGGCAGTGTTAGGCACTAGGGATCAGGCAGGAGGAGGTGAAGGACCCTTACTCAGAAAGGCCTCCAGGATGAGGCCATGCCACAAGGAGCAGCAGAAGTCATCCAAGAAAAGTCAGTGAGCAGGACTGGGGATGTGGCTCAAGTGGTAGAGCACTTGCCTAGCAAGCTTGAAGCCCTAAGTTCAACCCTCAGTCCTGCAAAAGTCAGTGAGGAGAAACAAGTGAACAATGAATCCTGCCATTTCTTCCAATTTTGGGGCTAGGCTGGTGTCAATGCTAAATCAGAGAACATTTGAAATCAGCCCTGACTGTAGGTAGGACATGGATCAATACAAACTGCCATCACTGTAGAAAAGTACTTCTGCCTCCTGGGCACTGCCCACCAGCCCTTTCTGGACCAATGCAACCATTTTGGTTTTTTAGGGTCTCAACCTAGACTTTGGTTCGGCCCCCAAAACTTTGTTTTTGGAGGATGACAATGAAGATAACCTTTACATGATTCTTTGCTTCATAGTACATTATTTGAATTTAATAATATACAAGACTAGAAACAGTTTGTATTCAGCAACCTAAGACGCTTTTTGTTTTTCCTTCCAGTGCTGGGAATCAAGCCTCATACATGCTAGGCAAGTGCTCTTCCACTGAGGTATATCACTAAATGGAAGAAGCTTTTATTTTTCTTCCCTCCTTCTCTGTCTCTCTCTGTCTCCAATATTGCTGACTGAATGCAGGACTTCAAGCACGCTAGGCAAGCACTCTACCACTTGAACTATGCCCCTGGCTCTTCCATTTGCCCTGCTTGGCCTAGAACTCAAGATTCTCTTGCCTCTGCCTTCCAAGTAAAATAACTGGAGCACGATTCAAATGATAAACCACTTGCCTATCAAGATGGAGGCCCTACATTCAAACAAAGCAAAACGAAACTTCAAACATCAAAACCATCCTGGGCTGGATTACCAGTCTGTCTATGGCTCCCTCTGCCTCCTGCCTCTTATAATAGCTTAGTCAGCTTTTTTGTTTGTTCTTTTGTTTTATGCTTAGTCAGTTTTTATTATTATCCCAGCATACTCATTTCTGCCTTTGTCCTTTTACTCGTCCATTATCTTTATCCAAATAAATCCAAGGTCAAACTTAGAGTATGTCCTGCCTTAGTGATCAACCTTTCCTCTTCAACACTATTGTTTTGTTACTTACATGCGATGTGATGCTGACGTGGAGATACCCTGTCTCCAACTGTAGCACAGCCCTTAAGGAGTTGAGTATGCCTATGTCTTTCTGGTACCTGTCACTTAGCCAAGTACCCCAGAACAGAGCAGACACTTAAGTGGCTGCTGGTGACAACAATAAGATGTAATGGGGAGAGACTGTTGTTTAAAGCAGTTTTGCATATGCCCTGTGAATAACACTATCCTTACTTTTTAAATCTAAATTACTACCTCTAATACTTTAACCTTTTGTTTTTTTAAAGAGAAACCTTTGGGTGGGGACAAGGGGAGAGATGGAAGATAAAAAAGATACTCAGAGAAATTTCCCCAAGACTTAACAGTTCATTCCATATAATAATATTATTTCCAAGCCCATGATAAAACTGCTTTTCCATTCTGACAATCGGTTGATATGTGAAAGGGACTTAGGCTATTCCAGCATCTAAGAAAAAGGTTTAGTTTTTTTGTTTTGTTTTGTATTTTTGGTAGCACTGGGGTTTGAACTCAGGCCCTTGAGCTTGCTAAGCAGGAACTCTTACTGCTTGAGCCACTCCTCCAGCCCTTTTTTATGATGAGTTTTTTCCAGATACGGTCCTGAAAACTATTTGCCTGGGCTGGCTTCAAACCTCAATCCTCCTAAACTTTGCCTCCTGAATAGCTAGGATTACAGGTGTGAGCCACCCATGCCCAACTAGAACCAGTTTTATTTTTGAATGAAATTTAACACGGCATCCAGATTCTTCTTAGGCATTACTAACTTTTTTTCTAAGTATGTTAATCATTGATCTTTGAATTATGTTTTTCATATCTAGACTCAAGGATATTTCCCCTTTTAGTGATTTATTATAAATGACATATTATTACCTGTCCATTAAAACCATGACGTAAATACAGCACCACATGTTTAAGAAGTATCATAATCATTTTCACTTAGGAAATTAAAATCTGGATACGTTACAGAATTAAATGACAATCAATTTATCACAGTAGTCACACTCAGATAACCTTTCAATTTTGCCCTCACTAGCCTTGCGATCCTGAGTTATTTAACCTTGTTGAGTTCTAGCTTTGTTTTCTGTAAGAAATAGACCTCGTGGATTTTTTTGAGAATCCAATGAAGTAATACTGATACAGTGACACCAGCACAGTGCTTGCACACACATTCTCAATGAATGTGAACACGACTGTGTGTGACTACTAGGTAGCAGTGTTCACACGTGCTCCAAGGAAGGTTATCACTCAACAGAGTACTTAAATATGCACTTAAACATAAACTGTTGAATAGCAGAGTAATAAAGTACTTCAGTTCGGGAAGGAAACAACTCATACAGATGGGATTTGAAATGGGTTCTACGGATGGGTAGGAGTTCACTGGGAAGCAATTATAAGACAGGAATATGCATGAGGGAGGGACACAGTGCAAATATATGCACAGAGAGGCTCAGGATGAATGGAAGGGACTGATTCAGATCCACTAATGTCTATAGCCTGTCCCAAAGGTGAAGGCTCCAGACTGGACTAGTGAGAAATGGATGGAGGTTAGTGTACTAGGGGAATAAGGGGTGCTATAGTTTTGGTAGTATGATTTGGAATCCATTCTATAGAATGGAAAGGAACCTTTTTTAAAGCATCTTCTGCGTCCGTTATTCCCTGAATACCAGCTCGCATGTGACTCACCTCTTTGAACGAGGTAAGCCTGCTGTTCCGGGTCAACTGTTCTCGCTCCGTGCCGGCTTTGCATTTCCATCAAGGACTGCCTGCTGGGATTAAAAGCAACGCTACGTGTGATGTTCTACAAGACTGAAACATGATGCTGGTGAGTAGTCAACCACAGTAGGAAGAAAAAGAGTCCAACTACAAGGCCAAGGTTCATAAGCTCCAGAACTTGAGACTAATTTGGTTTTTAAATACTATTGGCATGAGGATACTATGTGGGGAAACTAAGATTTTCAAAATCAGTTAGGAAACAATCAAACTGTTAATTGATAGGAGAATGGACTAGAAAAAAGTAGCTATTTCTTTATCAAAAGACTACACAGCAATTAAATATAATGATTTAAATCTGTATGTATCAACAGAGTTCAAAATCACAATACTATCTAAACCAAGTTTCAGAACAGTATTTACAGTGATCATTTTGTAACTGAAGACACAGAGAAATCAGTATTACCTTATTTATAGGGGTGTGCATATCTACATGTATATATGTATAAAATAGATGGGGAGACGCCTATCAAATTCCTGGTTGTACAAGGTAAAGGAAGAGGGGACTATGATAAAGGATGGGGAACAAAGGAGACATTAACTTTATCTACAACACCTTTTTTATTTTAATAAAAAAAAAATACTGGGTTGGGGACATGGCTTAACTGGTAGAGTGCCTGCCTAGCAAACATGAGGCCCTGAGTTCAAACCCCATTGCCACCAAATAAATAAATAAAAGCTTGTTTCTCACAAGTTTCTGTCAAGCTTTATTATAAGCCAAACTAGGTACAGGAATAAGACCAAGTGAAGTGGAGGTACAGCAACCCTCACAGCTCAAATTAGGAAATAGCTTGGACAGGTCACCTCTTCCACAGCCTCCTGGTCCTAGGCTCCAAGTCCTGTCATGTTTCCTTACCTGTCTCCATCTTCAAAAGCATTATTCTCCTTCAGCAAGATTGCCAGCTGCAATGCCAGTTGTTCCTTTTCTTCATGGATCTTCTCTCTTGCTTCTCTTTCAGCATGAAAGTCTGAACAGTAAACTTCCATCTGTGAGAGGAGAAAGGCACAGAAGTTGCCATGAGTTAGAATACAGACCCTCTGCAGCTCACCTGTTCATGACGTCAGGAGATAACATGGAGTGCCATGTCCTAAGAGGGACCTTGTGAATGACCGCTACTGACTCCTGCCAGGAACCAGTACAACCACCAAGGCCTTCCAACTCCATTCTGATCGTAGGTACAAGGCATGTGCATAGGTGCTTGAAGCAGTTACAACCCCACAACTGCACTGATACAGGTGGGTTAAGCAATGTATGTACCGCTAACTCGGTAAAGTACTGTGGCCTCTTTTTAAAAACAAAATCATCAGTGTTGGCTTATAGTAAATGGTTTATTCACTTTGCCAGGTAAAATTAGAATGCTGGTCACAAGCAAAACTTACAATAATAATTATCAGATGCTATTTATTGAATTCTAAATATGTGTGAGGTCCTGTGTTGGGTGCTTATTTCACCTTATCAGAATTCCTGGGAATGTGTAAAATTGCTATCACTATTTTATTTTATTTAGTTCTTTTTTCTGGTGATACTGGGGTTTGCACTCAGGGCCTTGTGCTTACTAGGCAGGTGCTCTACCACTTGAGTCATGCTCCAAACTACTATCACCATTAAAAAAAATAAGCTTAATAGTTCTTAATCTTGGGAAAACTTGTGGAGTAGGCAAATCAGCACTTGAACCCATTTACCATGGACTCTGTGATATACCAAGACACTTGACATGTGTGGCGGCCACCAGCCTTGCAGCTGGCTGCAGTGCTCTTTGCCCCTTGGCTTTCATCCCCTCTGTGATTCCTTCCCACAGTGAATGGGGCTGACCCGAGTAACTACTAGGCAGCGCAGAAGTGGGAATGTGGCTTCGGAGACTGGGTCATAAAAGACACTGTGGCTCCTTCCTGGCTTTCTTCAGGATCCCTTCCCCTGGAGGAGGCCAGCTGCCATGTCATGAAGTCATACAAGCAGCCCACGGGTGAGGCCTGCTCAGTGAGGAAAAGAGGCCTCCGGCCAACAGCCGTGCGAGTGAGACATCTCGGAAAGGGACCAACATAGCTCATGAGAGATCCTGACTCAGGATGTCCTGCTAAGCTTCTCCTGATTCCCGACCCACAGAAACTATGTGAGACAACATATGCTTATTTTTGTTTGTTTTAAGCTGCTGAGTTTGGGGAGTAATTTGTTATGCAGAGATAACTAATACATCATGACAGCAATTTCTCTATTGTTATCAAATTGTAAAACTGAACCATTTAATAGTGAATGTAGTGAATTAAGCATTGTTCTAATACCAGGTTTTAACTTTCTATGTTAAAAATCACTTTTTCTGCACAGCGCTGGTGGCTCACGCCTGTAATCCTAGCTACTCAGGAGGCAGAGATCAGGAGGACTGTGGTTCAAAGCCAGCCCAGGCAAATAGTTTGTAAGATCTTATCTCAAAAAAAGAAAACCCATAACAAAAAAGGGTTGGTGGAATGGCTCAAGGTGTAGGCCCTGAGTTCAAACCCCAGTACTGCAAAAAATAAATAAGAAATAAAATCACTTTTTCCTTTTGAAATTTAATGGTTCTATGATATGGATTATTACCTATTACTTTAAAAAGTAAAATTAATCTAAATATTCTGTTACAACTATAATTATAAAAAGTATGTAATAAAGAGACCATTTTAAGGGACTTCTTATCACTTCTGAGTGATCCAGCATGATAATCATTAGTAGACCATGTCTTTTTTAGAAAGGTCTAAACTTTAGTTGGAGACTCACTTGTATCCCTTCTTAGTTTTGAGCCAGTAAATATAGGTCTTTGTTTTGTCCATACCACCTCCCTAGCAGTGAAAACATTATCTCACATATGATAGGTGCTCAAAAAAGGTTGCTAGAGCCAGGCATGATGGTGTATGCCTTTAATCTTAGCTACCTGGGAGGCAGAGATCAGAAGATGGTAGTTGGAGGCCAGTCGGGGCAAGAGTTTGGGAGAATACTATCCAACATTTAAAAATTAACAAAAACACCAATAAAAATAACATGTGGCCAAGTAATAACACAGAGAGGTATTCAATATATCTCAGGAGTGAAAAAGTTGTAGTACAAAAGGCGTAGCATGATCTGTTTCAGTGTGTGGTGCTGGGGATGGAAGCCAGGGCCTTACACATACTAGTCAACTCTACCACTGAGCTACAGTCCCAGCCTAATATCACCCCCGCCCCTTTTTTTGGCAGCACTGGGGTTTGAACTTAGTGCCTTACCCTTGCTAGGCAGGTGCTCTGCCACTTGAGTCACTCTACCGTTACTCCATCAGCCCTTTTTTGTGATGGGTTTTGTCAAGGGTCTCACAAACTATTTGCTCAGTCTGGCTTTGAACCATGATGCTCCTGAGTGGGCAGGATTACAGGCATGAGCCACCAGTACCTGGCATGATCCCATTCCTAATGAAGCAAGCAAAATGGAATTTGTGGCAGGCTGGATGTGAGGCTCAAGTGGTACAGTGCCTGCTTTACAAGTGCAGAGCCAGGGTTCAAACCCCAGTCCCACCAAAAAAAAAAAAAAAAAAGAAGAGGCATTTGGGGGAGTTAGGGCTTTACTTTGTACCTTATATATTCTTGTATTGTATTTGTATTATCTAAAATTTTTGTTTTTTAATGAATGGCTTTGTTTATATTATTTCAAATAAATTTAAAACATATTAGCACCTAATTATCTTAAAAATTCCTCTCTGATTTCTAGTTACTTAAATGAACCCTCTTTCTTCCCATTAATTTTTTTGTGGTTTTACATCTCAGGAAGGATGTATTACCACTCATAAATTCTCTTCCAAATACTCCACTCAACAATATCCAAAGTTTGTCAAAGTAGTCACTAGTCAGTCTCTTCCAGAGAACATAAAGCAAGAAATACGCTTAAAGTTGTTTTTATGAAGCAAGTGTAATTCCAATATTAAAATCTGACAAAGAAGCTAGTCAAAGGAAAATCCTAGGCTAATCTTAAGGATATAGACCCAAAATTATAAGCAAAATATGAGCAAACAAAATCCTACAATTTACAGTAAGTCCACCTTATACACGGAATTATTACATGAAGTTTTGACCAAGCATGGTCAGAAAATAATAAATAAAAAAATCAAAATAAATTTCCAAAACATAAATTTTAAAATTTCTGCACATATTATGCAGCCCAGTTGATGGGAGAAGCTCTCAATCAGTCCTGCATTATTATCACTTGTGTTTAAATTGTTACGTGATCTGCTTTCTGAGGGTTTCCCTGCCTTTCATTTGGTGAAAATCTATTTTCCAGAAGCAAATGGTATCTCAAAACCAAGGTGCAAGTGGATGTGCTATATGAAAATCTGAGATCTGTTGAAAGGCACCACGCCTGTAGAGGGAGTTGAGCAGCATTGTGGGAGAAACGAATCAAGCATCTGCAGTATAGCACTGACCTCTGTGTCTCCTGAACATGCACAGGTTTTCCTCAGTGGTGAGCCTGAGGACAGCAAGGGTCAACTGGACACAGAGGATAATTTGAGAGATACGAGTTTTGCTCAATATTTAAAAATCAATTTAATTTACCATATTAACAAATTAAAACATGTAGTTGTCAGGTGTGGTGGTGCAGGCCTGTAATCCCATCTACTTAGGAGGCTGAGGCAGGAGGATCTCAGTTTGGGCTACCTAAGGAGCATCTGCTAAAAAAAGAAAAACACTCTAAGACTGAAAAGGCAAAAACTCTGACAAAGACTTCTATCTGGAGTAGATACAGAACTCATAAAATCAAGAAAAAGCCATGCAGACCTAAAGAGAAACAGACAAAGCCTTGACTTGGCAAGTCACAAGAGAGGAAACCTAGAAGTCCTCAACCTCATCAGTCATCAATGAACTGCAAACTAAATGAGATGTCATCACCTTATGTCCCCCAGAAGGGTTCAGAGCGAAAGACCGACCATACAAGTGTTGACAGTACTCACAGCAATGGCAACTCTGCTGGCGGAAGTGAACTTGGTAAACCTCTGGGAAGCCTATTTACCTACTAGCCGGTGTAGTGTGCACAGCCTCCAACCAGGGACTCCACTCCCAGGTCTGTACCGAAAGAACTGAGAACTCATGAACAAAGAGACATGTGTGGGCATGTAACAGCAACACTACTCATAACGCCACAAACCAGAAATGACTCACCTGCCTATTAACTGTCGATAAGATAAAGTTCACTGAGTTGTGTGCTTAAAAATTTGGTGCATTTTGCACACGTTTTCAATTTAAAATTGAAAAAAACTCACTGGTAGGAAGATTATACAATAAACAATACATATATTAAACACCATTTTCATTTAAACCCTTTTGCCATTGGGAATTGAAGCAAGGCTGACCTCACTCAGCTCAGGTTCTAGAACAGCTCTTACCTGAGCCCTCAGGACAGCCATGGTTTCCAGGTCCTCCTCCTGCTTTGCTATGAGTTGCTTCATCTCATCCATCTGAAGTTGCTTGGAAGCCAGTGCTCTCTCAGCCAGCTCCAGTTTCTCATTTAGTTCCTGTAGCACCACCTTGTCCACTTTTTCTGACTGAAAAAGACAATATTGAGTCCAACAATGGTGACACATGCCTGTTATCCCAGCTGCTTGGGAGGTGGAGGCAGGAGGATCTTAGCTTCCAGGCCAACCTGAGCTAAGTTAGTGAGAACCTATCACAATAATAAAATACAACAAAAGGACTGGGGGTGTGGCTCATGGGCAGGAGGTCCTGAGTTCAATTCCCAGTACCACAAAGAACACAGAAACAACCCTCACCACACACACCATTATTCCAGAAATGGTCTTGAAATAATGCAGCCTGTTTTAGTAAAATGTTACAGGTTTACTTTTCTAAATTATTAGATATGAACTAGTCTGTTTAATTAGCAGAGATAACTTACTCAGAAAGTTGCACTTTATGACTTGCAAATAATAATTTCCTAATTCACAACAATAAGTTTTCTAAAAGATAACACTGAAATTGGGGCTGGAGGCATGGCTCAAGTGGTAGAGCACCTGCCTAGCAATAGAGGAACCCTGAATTCAAAACTCAGTGCCTCCTGTTCACAATATCCAAGTTATGGAAACAGCCAAGATGCCCCACTACTGACGAATGGATTAAGAAAATGTGGTATCTATACACAATGGAATTCTATGCAGCCATGAAGAAGAACGCAATGTTATCATTCACTGGTAAATGGATGGAATTGGAGAACATCATTCTGAGTGAGGTTAGCCTGGCCCAAAAGACCAAAAATCATATGTTCCCCCTCATATGTGGACATTAGATCAAGGGCAAATACAACAAGGGGATTGGACTATGAGCACATGATAAAAGCGAGAGCACACAAGGAAGGGGTGAGGATAGGTAAGACACCTAAAAAACTAGCTAGCATTTGTTGCCCTTAACGCAGAGAAACTAAAGCAGATACCTTAAAGCAACTGAGGCCAATAGGAAAAGGGGAACAGGTACTAGAGAAAAGGTTAGATCACAAAGAATTAACCTAGAAGGTAACACACACACAGGAAATCAATGTGAGTCAATGCCCTGCACAGCTATCCTTATCTCAACCAGCAAAATCCCTTGTTCCTTCCTATTATTGCTTATACTCTCTCTACAACAAAATTAGAGATAAGGGCAAAATAGTTTCTGCTGGGTATTGAGGGGGTGGGGGGGAGAGGGTGGGGGTGGAGTGGG